GGGCGTGCAGGAGGCAGCCGATCAATGATTCTCTCTCATCATTGATGTTTCTATCTCTCTCTCCCTCCTTTCCTCTCTGAAATCAACAAAATAATATATTTTTCAAAAAGCTCCATAAACCTCTACTAGCAAGGAGTCAGGTAAGGTCAGTGATCCCCCACAAGAGCCATTCACCTTCTCAAACAGTCCCCTCAGTATCCATAAGAGTTGAAGAGTACATCTAAAGATTTTCTCCCCTAGAAATCTACTCTGTTATGAATCTGTTAGCCCACAACTGTTACCCATATATGTAAGAGCAGGCACCTATAAAGGGACACATGGGAGCCTTCAGATACAGAAATGTCTCATTACTCATATTGATTAAGTGCTGACTAAATGATGTACATAACATACATAAATTCATTTGGGATGAAAATAAAACACTCCCTGTAAGCATCTGGGATATTACTTTGGCACCTGGTATCCTGGGTAATGTATTAAACACATCTGTTCATGTGTTGGGTATATACAACTGAGTCTAGAGCAAAGAATTCTTGGAGAAGAAGCTCAAAGCTCTAGGCTGGGTTTTGTTTTGTTTTGTTTTTTCCTTGTAATTGATTTTAGGGAGGGAGAGAGGGAAAGACAGACATCAATATGAGACACATGGACTGTTTGCCTCCCGTATGCACCCCAACTGAGGACCAAATATGCAACGTGGGTATGTGCCCCGAGTGGGAATCGAACCCAAGACCTTCTAGTACACAGGGACAATGCTTCAACCAACTGAGCCGCATCGGCCAGGGCCATAGGCTGGTTTTTCTACTGACAGCCCTGGCTAATCATTTAACATGCACTGACTGCATTTTTTTTCATGTGTAAAATGGGGATATAACCACTTCTGCCTCCCTTGACAGGGTAGTGGTTGCTAATCAAATAAATAGATAAATGAAGCGTGCCTTGCAAACAGAAAACATGGTTCATTTTTCCTTCCTGTATCTTTCACATAATTTTGCTCCCAGTTTTACTACTCAATTCATCTTTAAATGAGCCAGAAGGAGAGAACAGCTTAGGCCTAGGTGGTAGTAATATTAGTTTTCAGTCAGGGGAGGAAAAAGTAAAAAGAAGACTCCCTTTGATGAGGGAAGGAAAGGGCCAGAAGGGAACAAGGCTCCTGCTCCACTGGTTCTTCCTGTTTGTAATCAAGGATCCCACTTTGCATAGCACCATGCCTGGCACAAAGTAAGCACTCAATAAATATCAGCCGTTAATATTTAAAGACCAGCACTGGGAAGACATCCAGGTGCACGGCAGTAGCAGCTGGGCTGGGACCTGCTTGGTGCTCAGAAGTTGCTCACTCAGGTACGAAAGCAGCAATGGTGAAATCTAAACTGATTCTACCTAAAAAAATGCTTGTTGCTTGCTTCTGGTACCTTCTTTCCCGCAAATCAAAACAACATATTATCATTCATACTGGCTTTATAGTTGACTCTTAGTAAAGTTGGCATCTAATAGTATACACATCTTTAAGAAAACAGTGTACCTCTTCACTTCCCTCACAAAGCTTTTCACTTTGTGTAGAGATTTAAGTAAAGTTTCTAAAATGAAAAGTAACAGTACTCAGTGAACTTCATTGTTCCTTCCAAGTTAGAATTCAGAGCAGTTTATGGTAGTGAAAAGTATCCAGCAGTCAACCTCTGACCCAAGCAGGCAACAGAATGATGACAGTCTCCCTTAAGAAATTCGTTCTCAGCCCTCACAGAATCATCCAGGAGGAATGACCAACCACATGGGCTTTGTTCTGAGGAGGCCTGGGAAGGAAAAAGCAAGAGATGGGGAAGGAGCTGAAGTAAAGAGCCTTGGAAAGTACCGTAAAGTTCAACAGAACACAGTCAGACTCCTGAAATTAAACACCAAAGACAACAGAAAAAAATCCCAAGGAAAGTAGCTCAGCATTGAGGTTCTTTCAGTTTTGGCCTCTGTGGATGAAGAGGATCTAATTGGTACCAACTACAATCATACAGTCCTTCAAATCTTTACAAAGGTGTTCCCTGTGGCCAAGGGCAAAAATCAGCTCCTAACCCAAAGCAATAGGAAGAGCTGAGGGACACTTGCTTGCTTTCAATAAAAATCTAATGCTTATCATAAATTCCACCCCTGAACCAAAAAGATTATTTTTTAAAATATGTTTTTATTTATTTTAGAGCAGCGGTTCTCAACCTGTGGGTCCCGAACCCTGTGGGGGTCGAACGACCCTTTCACAGGGGTCGCCTAAGACCATCGGAAAACACCTATATAATTACATATAGTTTTTGTGATTAATCGCTATGCTTTAATTATGTTCAATTTGTAACAATGAAAATACATCCTGCATATCAGATAGTATTTACATTACGATTCATAACAGTAGCAAAATTATAGTTATGAAGTAGCAATGAAAATAATTATGGTTGGGGGTCACCACAACATGAGGAACTGTATTAAAGGGTCATGGCATTAGGAAGGTTGAGAACCACTGTTTTAGAGAGGGAGGGAGGGGGAGGGGGGGAGAGAGAGAAACATCGATTGGCTGCCTCCCCTACAGGCACCCTATCCAGAGATCAAGTTGCAACCTGGGCATGTGCCCTGACCAAGAATGAACTAGTGCCCTAACCGGTTTGGCTCAGATTCGATTC